AATTTATCAAGCTGGAATCGACGAGAGTGTTGAGAACGCGGTGCTGACATGGGATCCGTCGCAGATGGATAAGAAAATGTAATTGTAATATGTCATAACAATGCACGCGAGTTTGCTCCGCAAGGAAAAGTCCTTTAAAATTTAAGTCATATGCCACTTGGTCAATGAGAATCTTGTTATCATTGAATAATTCAATCGGTAGACAGTTCGCGCGCCCCGCGTGTACATGGTGGTCACTGGCAGTCGGCCATCGGGCAGAGCGACGAGCTTCTTCTGCATATCATTGCGGTCGCCGCTGGCACTCGTCTGATCTACAAGCGCTATGATTTCCAAATGCAATGTCCTCTGGTGCGCATATTGCAGACATTTACTTTGTCGTACAGCCTAAACATCATCCGCACCAACAACATCTTGATTTGCAGTCGCCACTGGCGGCTACCCGCGTTGACTGCATGTTTAGTCACCAACCGTAACTTTTACCGTTTATCTCACTGGGGTCGCCCCTGGCGGCCATCTGCGTGCAGCAACAAACAAACATCCCTTGCTCCTCAGGCTGCGTGATCACCAGTGGCGGCCGTATGCTTTCTCTCGGTGCTTACTTGCCGTCACTCAATTTATTCAACGCCCGTGCAGATGTCCGGAAGAGGTAATCAGTTTCCCGGGCACAAGGCGGTCGCCACTGGCGGGTGTCTTACCGTAGTGCACCACAAAACCACCTGACACACTCGCTTATGGTAATTATGCTACAATCCCGTGATCGATATCCGTGCTAGCCTGTAAAGGGCAAAACGCGGATGCAATAACTGGCTCTAATGCAGTTTATCAGCGGCGACTGGTATCGAGCGTTAATCAGCCGTCGCCACCCCTAGTGGAGCCCACAATGCCTCGACTGCATGGAAATGTATTGAGTCTCGCAGCATGTGTGCACTGCTGACATCGGCAATCACAGAGCGTGTACAAAATCTCTCTACTACCGGTGCATGTGTGCCGGTTTGACATGTAGTCGCCACTGGCGGGCAAATCATGTGTGGATTCTGGGCTCGCGAACGCTTGCGGCTATGTTCCACCATCAACATTACTATCGCCGGATTCCACCTCCTTACAAATGAGCGGGCGAATGTCAGCCTCGTGGCCCTGATCTAACGAGGTATGCTGGTTCTAGTGCGATTGTATGAGCGCAATGCGCTCGCCACAAGTGAAATCATGCTGAATTCTATTATCTGCCATCAGCCATCCAGTGTATAAAAGTCTGTCACCCACTTTCAAATTTTGCAGCCGCTACATCCACCAAGATGCCTATCACCCCACTTACACAATTCGCAGGCAAGTTTACTACGTCGCGCTAGCATCAGCGGCCGTCTTAACTAATATCACCCTTTCAGTGTCCATGATGGGTAAGTGTGTATGATAGCAGCACAATACTCCTTCGCTGTCAACTTCTTTCCAGAGACCACGTCTCGCATCCAGCGTTGGCGGCATCACGTCGCTTCTGTGGGCCATTTGCCCAGGTTTGAGCTGCCTTGGGGGGTTATTACGAGGAACCAGAGAGCTTGCCCGAGGACCCTCCAATGGGATCCCAGTTTGCGCAGGACTTTAATCAGGAGATCGAGCACGCGAACGAATGCGACCAGGAGATCGAACACACAAACGACAACGATCATCCGGCGGCGTCGTTGTACCTCGCCGAGCTCGAAGAAGAAGTGCAGGACGCTGACAACCGGTGGCTTCTTCCCTCTCCAGAGATACTGACAATCAGCCTCACCCCTTCGCCCATCTACTACTGCTCCCCCACTCCGTCACCGTCTATTAGCTGGAAGGCTGAGCGAGCGCTGTCTAACGAGGCTGCAGCAAGGCCAGACATCGCCGAAGCAACGGCATATCAAGCTGCGCTCGACGAGAGTGTGGACGCAGTGAAGACAGAGCACATGGAATGCGAGGAGTGAATTGTATATTGTATAAATCATAAATTCAATCGTCATGTTTCTTGGTGTAGTAAATGCTATTATGGGACTCCAGGAGCAAATCTGCAGACAGTGGCTGATTATTTGTCAGCAATGTGCAAACTAGCCAACCATTCAAAGCATAGCTAACGCACGACACACATTACTGTCCGCATGGCGAGATGTTCGTCATTAGTCATTTAAGCGTGCTTTTATTCGCTGCCAGCTGAGTGTCCGCTGCTGGCGATTTCGCATGTAAGAGATAAATATTTCTACTCCCAGCCATTTGAATGCATGATTGCTGTCTCCGTGATTAGGCCACCGGCATGTGTAGATTGCAAGATTGGCTAATACTACATCACTTGTTCCGCCTGTATGTGGTCGCCACTGGCCACCTTATGCAGTGTGGAAGGCTATGACCAAAGGCACTTTAATTTTTTCCTGCAAATGTGCAGTCGCCACTGGCGGCCACATGCAGCCCGCTAGGTTAACCAAAGCTGTTTGTGCTGTTTTTCTACAAACAAACAACAACGATACACATATGTGGTCGCCACTGGCGGCCATATAGATCGTAAGATTAGCTAATGCTGCTCGACTAATTTCACCCATAGATGTTCGCCACTGGACACCTTGAACTAATTTGCAAGGTTATGACCAAAGGTACTTCAATGTCTCCCTGCAAACGTGCAGTTGCCACTGGCGTCTGCATATCGCTGGTGAGGTTTGACCACAACTACTCTGCTGCTTCCCCACTAAATATGCAGTCGCCACTGGCGGTCACTCTTTGCAGCATGCTGACCACACAGCCACTATGCTGTACTTGGCCGCCGCTCTGCACACATGCAGTCGCCACTGGCAGCCACGCACTGCGTTGGAAGCGAGCGTCAAGCGGTAGGAGCCAGCGTCAAGGGCAGTGGTCGGCGCTCGAAACGGTCCCTACCGACCCCTACCAGAGCTCATAACCCTTAAGGCACATGGGATAATTCTCTTGGTGCTTCGAGCTTGGATCTGGAGCCTTGTGTCTGATGTGCGTGAGATGATTCCCACAGCATGCCAAACACGAGTTTGATGAGTGGAGGTCAACCCACCCTTGGGTTCTTGTGAGAGAGCCCCAATTAAAATTTCCCTCTCGTGCAGCGAGTGAGGGTAGTTGTTGTATGGCATCTCCCTGACAAGGGTTTTGCCATCCTGTGGCCACACACCACAGTGCCAGAACTGCTCGTATAGGGGAACGAGTGTTGGAAGAGCTGAGGAAGGCTCAGTGTCGAGGCCTGATACTTCACGGCCCACCCTCAGCCCTAGATAGTGGCAAGGTGCCATGATCGGTGTGACCAGTGTCAAACTGGTCTACCGATGACACCTATCAAGGGAGTAAATTAGCAGAGATGAAGGAGAAGGGAAAAACTTAGCAGGCAGCGAGGGAAAGTGAGTGAGTCAACTCAGATGTGTGAGCGTCTAAGCAAGATGGTGGTGGTACAAGAACAAGGTGTGTATGAGGGCAAAGGTGTCAAATGAGATATATGCTTACCTATTACGGGAAACAAATGAATCACAGTTCATTTCTACTTCACAGTGGTTGCTTAGTGTGTTGAAAAGCAACTTATCCTGTGCTCTGTGCTATGAGACTATGTTGCAACTGTACTCGTAAGTTTACCGCTGTCTGCAGCACTAAAACCAACTAACTGTTGCACTTACCTGCAGCCTTACATGTGGACACACGTTCTGCTGCTCTTGTCTGCAGGCCTGGTTCAGTACAGAGCTAGCAACCCATGTGGCCACACATTCAGAGTACAGCTCAGTTCTCCAAATTCCAAGAGAATACCGCAGGCTTCTGCGAAAGTGTAACTTGCAACTAGGTCAACACAGAGATCTTATGCAGGAGCTCTGACAGCTCTACACCAGTGTAATCCATCCAGATTACAAGCATCTGGCTTGTTGCCAGCCGGTAACCTCGAGACCAGTCAAATTGTTCACAGTCAAGAACATTGTCTTTGCTGTTGCAGAAGCTGAGGCTGAGGAGTTGCATTTGCAAGGGGAGCCTGTCACTAGCTCACAAGGAGGCACCTCAAGACTGCATGAGGAGAGCTCATTCTCGATCTATTTCCTGGCAGTTACTGACTTGCCAGAGGGTCGGTAATGTATGTAACCTATTATACCTTGTGCTCTGATTGCTTCCGAGTCATTTGCATAATGCATACCTGCACACTCTTCTGTCTGTTTGCTTGTTTGATGCATTATCAACCATCAGAAGACTCCATGAAATGATTCATAGTCAAAAGAGCTCTTGAGACAGCTATAATGCTCAGGCTGTATTCCGTTACAGCAGGTGGGAGTCATAGGCTTATGTTTGAAGAATCAAACTGTACAGAGTTCCTGACTGTTCAATGCACCAGAACCAACGGAGTTGGCAGGGCTCCATTGGGTGCCTGCCCAGTAGCGATGCTGGACAGCTACTGAGAGTGTCTATTCTCTTTGGGAAATGGCACAACAGCATGTAGTGTATGCAGTGCTGGAATTTGGCAAATACGCTATATCAGCTTTCAGGGTGAGTTTAAAGTTTAGGAGGGCTGAACTGAGCAAAGCAAGGTGAGGCAAAGGGCTAATTGTGGCTAGAAAGCCAAGGACCTTGCTGTTGTAGGCAACACAGGTGACTTTCGTGATGACACTCTTCAGTGCATTCCAGGAAGTTCTTATATCTTGCGTACAGGATCCCAGAGAGCAGGAAAGTATCTGTGACACTGTTGCCAAGGGCCAAAGCTGTCGGATGAATGCGTAATAGTGATGTGACAATGTTGCTGTGATTGGCTGGCTGTTCAGCAAAATCAGTGGATGTTGTCATTCTCCTCCTTCTATATATATATAAAGGTTTCTTCTACTATGGTATAGCTCTAGAGCAAAATGGAGGCAAGAACATACAGAAGGCCAGCCAGCCGCAGTTAGCATCAAGCTTGCTGATATAATCTGCTCATACAAATTAGCTTTATTTCTGTGTGAACCAAACAGAAGTGCACTTACGGAAGAAGTCGATAGCCTGCCTTAAGAAGATGTTCATACAGAAGATATGCTTGCTGGACTCTGGAAAATTATAGTGGTGTCTCAGTTCAAGTTAATAAGTGCTAAAGGCTATTCATACATATCCCCTGTTTTGTGAAACACATTTCTCACTTCCTCATTCAAGAAAGCAAAGTCCAGCATGTCGGGCACACCAAGCTTTTTCTTTGTGCCCATGAGATTTATGAATGTGATCACATGCACCACAGCAGGATAACAGTCCTTGACCGTAGCATTACATATGGTCAGTGCCAAGATTGAGATCGATGAACTCAATGTTGACCTCTATTGAAAACGCTTTCTTGAACCAGCATTCTTCTCACCTTCCTCCAGGTTGTCAAGCAGGGATGAAGGCTCGATGCGGCTGCCACCTTTTGGCCTCAGTTCCAAATTTGATATAGTAGCAGTTACTACTAAAGGTGATATTTCACGTAGTAGTAACTTGTTCAGCAGTTGGATAAAGCTGCTTTAGGCCTATAAAGGCTGTCCGGCATCTTTCCGCATGTTTAGAACCTCTAAATAACATAAAATATGCTATTAAACATATACCTTATATGGAAGACACAGTACATCACAACTTGTTTGGGCGCTTATTTTCATTTTATATCAAAAAACATGTTTCCAAACATATACCTTATATGGAAGACACAGTACAACATAACTTGTTTGGGCGCTTATTTTCATTTTATATCAAAAAACATGTTTCCAAACATATTTACTATGCACAACATATGATATAACAGGTTTGGGCGCTTATTTCCGTTTTATATCAGGAAACATGCAAAACATGTTTTTGAACATATTTGCCATACATAACATTTCTCAGAACTTAAAACTGCATGTGTTATTCACAAAATACTTGCCAGGAGCTGGCTCTTTTTTGGATACATATGGTAGCACTCCCAGATTTGCAATAAGTACCCACTGCAGGAATTTAAATTTGCAGGCCATTCTACATCCTCCCCTAGCTTCACCCCTTGCAGAACTATCAGGGCAAGTAGTGGCATAGATAGTAATATATTATAAGAGCATATATGTAGATTTGTAGGATTCTTCATGGTCTTCATATCATTCTGTCCATCAGATAATGTTCAAACTTCAAAAGAGCACCAGAAACAAGGCTTCCCACATCTTCTACAGTGCTTGGAAGATATGAGAATGATCCTAAATGCATATATATACCTTATAGTAGTGTGGGGAAGCAGCTTAAATGGATGGAGAACATGTAGTAATGCATGCAGGGGCTCAAAACCCTCAAAATGCAAAGGCATAGAAACTTGTACACTATCCTGTACCTTCTACACACCTTCTAAACTCCTGTAAATATTTTACATACTGCCCCAATGCTAGGAAAGGATTTATAGAAGTTTATAAGACTTTATCACATAGAGAAGATACTGAAACACTCCTCCAAATGTCAAAACATCGAAATCTGGCCTTCAAGCACTACAGATGCAGGCACACCAGGACTTGAAGTGCAATATACATCAATTACAGCTAGGTACATGCTATTTTGACATATATTAACCCTCCCAAGTGGTGACCCATCTCATACCTGTGTTGTAAAAGCCAGGCACACACCTGTGCAAGTTTAATGCTTTCACAGTGCTCAGAATCTCACCAACAGGCCATTCCCGGGTTAACCAATGCACCACACCCTCAATATATGTCCTATGGACCTAGGAATTGGTATTCCATTGTTTTTCTACACTGGAAATTAATTGCAGATGGTTTGCTCGTCCAATTCCAAGTGGTTCATCCTGTAGGAGGCAAATTGTGGTCAAAACAGTAAAAAAGCGCCTGTTTCCCACAGTCAAATCTGCTAGATCAGATGGGTTCTGAACTATGTAATTGAAAATTAGCTATATGTGTTTGATTATAGGCCTTAAACGAACCCTCCCAGCATAAGAAAACCTTTGATTGAGCACTTTTTTTCGGAAAAACTTCGCAAGTTCTGTAGAGAGTTCCAGCATGTTCTAGATGCTCTAAGCTCTCTTATACACTTCTATTCATGTCTAGTATGAATTTATGATGTTGCAAAACCTATAGGAGCTATGCAAGAGGCTTTATGATGCTTCTATCATGTAAAAAATCGAAATTATAATAGAAACAATAGTATATTATATTTTGTAGCAGTTTAATTTGGGCTAGAACACATCTACACACTCTACATAGGTATATATACCAAACCTACAACATTAAAAGGTCATGGGATAAAAGGGAAAAGAGGAATTGAGCCAGGAATGTCCTCAAAAAGCGAAATTGATGCTAGGGGCCAAACTGCTAGATGGAAGCTTTGTGGTATTTGATAGGGCTGATAGAGTTGATCAGAACTTAAGTCCATTCTAGATCAGCAAAAACTCGGCTCCCGGCGAGTATTTTGTGAATAACACATGCAGTTTTAAGTTCTGACATATGTTGTCAATAGCAAATATGTTCAAAAATATGTTTTGCATGTTCTCTGACATAAACCAAAAATAAGTGTCCAAACGTGTTATGTCATATGTTGTGCATAGCAAATATATTCAGAAACATGTTTAGAAACATGTTCTGCATGTTCTCTGACATAAAACAAAAATAAGCACTCAAGCACGTTATGCCATATTATATCTCCCATATAAAGCATATGTTTAATAGTATATTCTATATTATTTAGAAGTTCCAAACATGCTGAGAGATGCTGAACAGCCTTTATAAGCCTAAAGCAGCCTTATCCATCTGCTGAACAAGTTACTACTATGTGAAATATCACCTCTAGTAGTAACTGCTACTATATCAAATTTGGAACGTAGGACAGAAGGTGGAGAAGCTACACACAACACTACTTGACAATGGATTTAAGCACATGTGCTCAGACGCTGGCATTTATGTTTACCATCATGACAGAGTGGAAGTTTACCAAATTGTTTATGTCAACGACCTACTTCCTATGAGTCCAAGTTTACCCGAGATTGAACAAGTAAAGCAAGTTCTTGCAGACAAATTCCAAATGCAGGATCTTGGAGCCGCTACTATATTTCTTGGAATGCAGATCACTTATGACAGAAACAACAGGTGTCTGAAAATTGACCAACAGTTGTATACCAAAGAAATCCTTTCACGGTTTCAGATGCACAATGCAAAACCTTGCTGCACACCACTGCTAGAAGGCATTCATCTCGAGAAAGCTGTGGAAGCATATACCGCAGCAAACACACTCCATCACCCTTATCAGGCAATAATTGGTAGTTTGATTTACCTTATGATCAGATCACAACCTGACATTGCCTGGAGAGTCACACAACTTTCACAGTATATGCAGAACCTTATATCACATCTCCATCATACCATTGCATATTGTATCCAGTATTCTGGTGCAAATCAATTCAGTTTGATAGGGTATTCTAATGCGGACTGGAGCAAAAATCAGGATAACTGGCAATCAACAACTGGTTTCATTTTCTTGATGGCCGATGGAGCAGTCACATGGGCATCTCGGATGCAGAAGACAGTGGCAAGATCCTCAGCAGAAGCTGAATATATGGCACTCTCGAAGGCATGCTCTGAGTTAGCCTGGCTAACGTCACTCCAAAAAGAGTTAGGTTACTATTCTACTGCACCGCCACCACTGGTAGGAATCTTTCTCACAGTCAATACTGCTCATGATTGATGACTCAAATACATTGACATCCGGTGTTACTTCATCCACGAATACATTGAAGACAAATGTGTAAAAATTGTATACATCAGCACAGAAGAAATGATAGCTGATATGTTAACAAAGCCACTCGAAGCAACAAAGTTTGAGTGATTCAGATCAATGCTAGGCCTGACATTTAGGCAATGACTAGTCGAGTGAGTGTCAGAACTGGGAGATTATGTCATTGCCCTGTACAGACTAATGGGGATATATCACATGATCCTGATTATGCTGCAGTAATATGATAGACATTTACGTTTGATTACTCATGCTCACTGTACATGCTTACATACATGCAGTACCACAGGTCTTATAGCAGTATCAGGAGTCCTGACTCTCATGTATATATACTGGCCCTGTAGCACAGAATACGATAAGAGTTCAGTCGCATCTTCACATCTCGGACCATGTACTCTCCTCTCTCTGATCTTTGCTCAGCTTGAGCATACTGTCAGACAACACGAGCCCTTACTGTGAGCAAAGTGCCCATGCGTACAACCTGCTCGGATTTCAACAAAGGTTTGAATTAGGAATTCTCGAGCTCGAGCAGCCCTGCATCGCATTCACTGCACGAGCGGAAACTACAACCAGGACAGCACATGAACGAGTCACCCGAAGCATATGAGTGACAACTTCACACAGTTTAAGTAAGAAATGTGTGTAATTTTGCCCTAGTTTGAATAATTGGACTATATGCAGATTGTACCAGAAGAGGTCAGAGCAACTGATGATATACAGTAGATCAGAAATATTCAGCACTTATTCAGCATGCAAACTTGAATTTACGAGGCCCTCCGTGCTTATCCCAACAACCTTTCGCTTTCCTCACCCTCATCCCCCGACTTAGTCCTCTTCCTGATCGGTGCAACGACCTTGTTCCACATGCTTTTCAGCCCCTCCGCAACCCGGCTCACGAGCCAGTTCCGCGCGCGCCACACAGCATGAGGACGGTTGTCGATCTTATCCGTACGAATACGATGTTCAGCGTCGACGACGACGCTGAGAGCGAGCACGGTGGTCACGATTGAAGAGAGCGCGGTGCAGGACGAGATCATGAACATGATCACCATCTGGAGGCGCGCGGCCTGTTGGACACTCGACCCTCCGAGGATAGCACCGGTCATCATGCCCGGAATCGCGATGATACCGAGGACACTGATAAACCCGAGCATTAGAGTTCCATCCTGGGCGCAGGGTTCGTGTACGCACCTCATTTGGTTAACGTTAGGTGTCAAAGCGAGACGTAGGGCGTCGGTCGCAATGGGCTTGCAAGCTTCAAACCGTGATGCGCCGAATGCAAGGTAAGTCTCAATCTTGTCCTTGTTCTCGCTGAGATGGTCTAATGTTGTATTAGCATAAAGGAAAGACGTAGACTTACTAGAGCTCCTTTAGGACGTAGTTGCAGGCTACCACGATTCCTGAGATGGTGGCTCCGCACAGCATTCCGACGACAGGTACTGAATAGTGACACATGTGTCAGTCATGTACTCGGATGGAATGCAGGGCGAACGCACTGTACTGCTCTGGCTTCCAGAACGGATTCACGGCCATGGCGTAGCGAATACCGATCATGGAGACGGGAATGGTTGAGCAAAGCATGCCGAAAAGCACTGAAGGGAACTAAACAAGTGTTTGAGCACGAACGACAAGTCTTGGGTTCTGAACGAACGCGCACCATATGTTGAAACCTCCGCTTCGCCTTGTTCACAACTATAGACAATGATCAGGGACAATCCCAAGAGAGTAGAGCTTCAGCACGCACCAGTTTCAATCGTCCCCATTAGGTTCAGCAGGACTGTCAAGAATTGGCGTGGAATCAACAAATGTCCAAACTAGTATATCCGGATACTTACAGGCAATTCCGGCAACAGCCCATGGATTCTTCGCCTCGAATACCTTCTGCAGCACGAGTGACACGAGCGTGAGCTGTACGACGCACCGCACAGCGGCAGTCACGAGAGACGTCCCGACCCCGAGCTGGAACACCCGCGACACGACCGCATTGAACGCGATGAAGCTGAACGCAAGGCCGACGTTCCCCCACGTCAAGTCTGCAGTGCGTTCGTCGCCGCCTGGAGCGTCCATGTTTGAAGCCGGTCGCACGAGGTGGATGTAAGAGAGAGACGTGCGTAGGGGTGCACGCGTCCCACTCGCGAATCCGGTGGCTGGCCGCGTGGGATGACGTCAAGATTACACGAAAATAGCAAGATAATATTAGACGCCTGTCAGTGGACCACGCCACAATGTTGGAGGACTGGCCCCACCCATACCACAACCTCAGGCTACGCTCTCAGCCCATATGCACCTTTCATTCCCTCTTCCCTCCCATAAGGCGACGAGAGCAATCCTCAGCGGCGTTGTCGAGGCACCTGCGGTCTGGACGTTTCTGTGATCAGGCTCCGGTTGCGCTGGAACCCCCGCGCTCGGCATAGGCACCAAGAAATACTTGTCTTGATTTCCCCTTCATTTTCACCGCTTGAAGGGTATGACAGCTGAGATACCCGCATTCCAGGCTGCGACAAGGGGCTTATGAAAACTGATCTACCACTAATATGGTGGCACGAAATAGTTATTGCGTGAGACAGTGTTCAAAGCCGAACAGATGGTGTTCTGGTGCGTTGTATCAGGCACATGTTTGGTCTCTTCGCCCGCTGACGGACATGTGTCGCTTAGCGGATCAAGGTCTGAACTTCCCAGGTCGTCTGTGGTCCCAATTGTCAGTAAGGCAGCGCGGAGCATGCAAAGATCATTTTCACACTTCGCTGGTCTTTATAAGCATATAACAATACGCTCCGTTCAACATCTGGTGCGCCGACCAAGCGAACGGCGCGCTCGTCGCACTCATCGATTCTGGACCACGGTCCAGCCGCGAAGGCCAGGCTGCTCAGTACTGGCTACTGTCAGCCTCAAACAGGTTCCTGGCTGGTGCCTGTTTCTACCAGTTGTGTTCAGCGCGGTCCGCAACAGAGACTGTCTCATTACTACAGTCGTTTCATTCTCGGTTCTTCCGAGCCATCAACGAGCCAATACTGTATTCTTCAGGAGAACAAACCTGGCGAACGGTCATCCATCCGTGCCTGAGTGACTGAATGTTCCGCCTTGGCACGTCGTTCAGCGTTGGCTTTATGCGCTTCGGTATCGTATTTTTTTTCATTAACGATGAACCAACTGAGTGGTTTATAAGGACTCAGATCGAGAGTAGCACCTCGGCGTGTACCCTCACAGCTTGCTACAGCCTTTTTCTCGCCATACCTGCCCACGTACCTTTGTTATTACCAGCAATCCCTTCCCTTTATCGACCATGTTCGCTAGTGTCGCCGCCATCGCCCTGTTTGCTATCCTGGCCATCTCTGCCGATGCCAGTCCCTGGCAGGCTCGCTCCACCTCTCCCAGAGACAATTCTTTCGGTCGCCGGACCCTCCCTGGAGGCGACTGCCAGTGCCCCGCTGATCTGAACGGTGATTCCGGGGTACTCATCAACTTCTTCTCCGGCTACCAGTGCGCGTACGCGGGGGGCGCTTGCACCTGGAACGACAATGTATGTGCCACCTACTGTGTCCGAAAGACGGCGATAGCTCATGGCGTCTCGCAGACCGGTGCCCTGCAAAACACCGACCAAACTAACTGCCCTACCAACGCTCCTTGCAGCACCGACACAAGCTGTTCTTGTCCCACCGACAACAACGGTGACACCGGTGACTTGATCAACCAGTTCACTGATTACCAGTGTGCCTACCCTAACGGCGCCTGCCTTTGGAATATTGTAAGTCATAGTTTCGTGTAGCCTATTAGTTGGAGAGCTCAATGCGGATTTTGTGGCGAATATAGGATGGTACACTGCGGAACACCGGGCAGGCCAACTGTCCCTCGAACGCGCCGTGCCAGCAGTCCGGCTCTGACTCTTGAATACGGTTAGTTAGTAGATAGTCTTTGGTTCCGGTTCTCTTGGCTCTGTGGTAATTTTTAGTCAACTATGGTCCTCTTAGTCATATCCGTCGGTATACCGTGGTACGCTTTGGACACTGCCGTTCTGCCAGTCTAACTTTATGGTTTTGGCGTCATCTAGTTTTCTCAGAACACTTGGACTACGAAGCTTATATCGTCTACCTTAGTACTCGTACTTGTAGACTATCTAAACTTCCTCTTATTGCGACACTTCGTGAGGAGGCGAATACTGTGGGCGCATCACTGATGCGTCCCTGATGTTTAACTCGGAAACGTCGGGGACTCGGGGTCCTTTGACTTGAAATCACGTGCTTTGACCCTAAATTTCGGCAGGCGCTCACACATCGCTCTTCGTCGACGACCACAACGGCGGCGGGGGATGTTCTCGCTCCATTCCTGCCTGCGGGCCTCAGGCTCGCGGCTATTACCCTCACCACCGTCTCTCTCTGTCTCCGCCTTTAAGAGGCATGCTTCTGCCGCTGCAGCCACGAAACGCAAGTCTGTTGAAGCGGAAGCTGCTCCGCAAGTCTTCGAGCTCACTGACGAGGACAAGACCCGCTTGAGGTACCAACGGAATATCGGTATCTCGGCGCACATTGACTCTGGAAAGACGACGTTGACGGAACGTGTCCTTTATTATACTGGGCGTATTGGGGAAATACACGAGGTTCGTCTTTTCAGCCGGACTGATGTATACGCGCCACGCTTTTCTTCTATCTCAAACGGCTTCAGAGACTGTGTGATAGATTGACTGGGGGTAACTCGTGCTTTTGTTAGTATCCTCGGCCTCCAGGGACCCCAGCGCGTACACCCCATTCTAAGATCTTGCACTTTGTAGAAGCGTTGTAAGCGCGGCCTGCATGTGCTGGCTATCATCTGGACAAGCACACATCTCAGTCTCATCTTGGATCTAAGTTGCTGTGTGTCTTCTGGGACGCGTCTCAGGTCGTTCCATGGGTAGACCAGCCTGTGACCGACCGTACAGCATGCTATATCCAGAACGCCATTCTTTTTTCTACCTACCGTCTTACCCGCGGAGCATGGCAGACATGGCTTGAGGTCGAGAACAAAGGGACTAACCGACGTGCTGTTACCATTTAGGTCCGTGGTCGTGACAATGTTGGTGCCAAGATGGACAGCATGGAACTCGAGCGCGAGAAGGGTATCACTATTCAAAGCGCGGCAACGTACTGCAACTGGATAGCCACGGAACCGGTCACTGGCAAGAAAGAAAACTACCACGTTAACATCATCGACACACCCGGACACGTCGATTTTACCATTGAGGTTGAGCGCGCGCTGCGTGTGCTCGATGGTGCCGTTCTAGTCTTGTGTGCGGTCGCCGGTGTTCAGAGCCAGACCACAACGGTCGACCGTCAAATGCGTCGGTACAACGTTCCCCGAATTTCGTTCATCAACAAGATGGATCGCCCTGGTGCGAACCCCTGGAGGGTTATTGACCAGATTCGGACGAAGCTCAGGATGCCGGCTGCTGCGGTTCAGGTTCCCATTGGTGTCGAGGACGACCTTCGTGGTGTCGTCGACTTGGTTCGCTGGAAGGCCATCTACCACGAAGGCGAAAAGGGGTATGATGCATTCTTCGTGTGGCCCTATTCTCTGATGATCTAACTTTCACTATAGTCAGGTTGTCATAGAGAAAGACGAGATCCCGGAAGAGGTTCTCGAGCTTGCTAAGAAGAAGCGCGCCGAGCTCATTGAGCAGCTTGCTGAGGTCGACGAGCAGATTGGCGACATGGTCATCATGGAAGAGGAGCCCAACACGGAACAGCTTGTCGCAGCCATCCGCCGTGCGACTTGCGGTCTCAAGTTCTCTCCGGTCTTCATGGGCTCAGCAATCAAGAACACGGCCGTACAACCGATGCTCGACGGTGTTTGCGCGTATATGCCTACTCCATCCGAGAGCGTCGTCACCGCTCGGGACTCCACTCTACCTGTTAATGCTCCGCTAATTCCTCTGGTTCCTGCCGCTGCTGCTCCACTTGTTGTGCTCGCATTCAAGCTGGAGGAAGGCCGTTTTGGTCAGCTCACCTACATGCGCATCTACCAGGGCAGTATCCGCAAGGGTCAGTTCATTTTCCACGCTCGTACTGGCAAGAAGATCAAGGTCTCGCGTCTGGTCCGCATGCACAGTAACGAGATGGAAGACGTTGATCATATCGGTCCTGGCGAGATCTGTGCCATCTTCGGTATCGAGTGCGCGTCGGGAGACACTTTTACGGACGGTTCGACTAACTATACCATGGTATGTACGCCGTATATATACACCGACAGCGTTGATCCTCACCGGCTTGCAGTCTTCAATGTTCGTCCCAGAACCGGTCATCTCGCTCGCCTTGAAGCCTGTCGGCCAAGAGTCGCCTAACTTCTCTCGCGCTCTCAACCGCTTCAGGCGTGAAGACCCAACGTTCCGTGTACACATCGATCCCGAGAGCAAGGAGACGATTATCAGCGGCATGGGTGAACTCCACCTCGAAATTTATGTCGAACGTATGCGCCGCGAATACAACGTTGACTGCACTACCGGCAAGCCCCGTGTCGCGTACCGCGAGGCCATAACAGCGCGCGCAGACTTCAGCTACACACACAAGAAGCAGACCGGTGGTGCCGGCCAGTTCGCTCGTGTCATCGGTTGGATCGAGCCCATGGAGAAGGACGAGGAAACTGGCAAGGATGTCGCGTTCGTCAACCAGCTCATGGGTACCAACATCCCGCACCAATACATTCCAGGATGTGAGAAGGTCAATCAAGGATCTCAATCTTCTAGTAATCCCTCGGGCTGACATCTCACGTTTGCAGGGTTTCTTTGAGGCTCTCGAGAAGGGTACCCTTGCAGGCGCTCCCATTACTGGCACTCGCTTTGTTCTCACTGATGGTCTCGCCCACATCGTCGACTCGTCCGAGCTTGCGTTCCGTCTCGCCGTCATCGGTGCCATCCGTGAAATTTACTTCAAGGCGCAGCCCGTTATTCTCGAGCCGATCATGACCGTCGAGGTCATCGCGCCATCCGAGTTCCAGAGCGCAGTCATCGGTGGCGTTAACACCCGCCGCGGCACGATCTTGAACAGCGATGTCCGCGAGGACGAGTTCACCATCACAGCCGAGGTGCCACTCAATGACATGTTTGGCTACTCCAACGCGCTCCGTGGTGTGACGCAGGGTAAGGGCGAGTTCACAATGGAATACAAAGTATGCCCTCACGCTGTATGCGGCTCTTCCCGGTTGCTAATGCCCCTCCTTTTTGCAGACTCACGCGCCTGTTCTGCCGAACTTGCAGAAGGAGCTCTCCGAGGCGTACAGGAAGTCGCTTCCTCAAGCCAAAAAGTAGAGCTTTTGCTAAGCCCACGACGTGATTACCGTCCCCTAGAGTCGTATAATACAACACGGTGTTTAGAAAGACTTCGCATCGCTATCGGATACTGTCTGCGCTATAGATGATAGATGTCTCTTACTGCTCATGATGTTGGCGCGATGTCAGACGAATGTGCAGCCAAAATCAGTGTTGGTGCGAGGCTCCGCCAAGGTACCACAACGAAAAGCGAGGTCAAAGTGGCGGCTTTCGGACAGAGCTTGGGTCCGGTGAGTTTTCATCCATTCGTCCATGAATGCACTTGGCAACCTATTTCCTTTGGCAGCTCCGGGATTTCGTCGTAACAACAATTTTCATTTTGGGTGGCGGCTGCCTGCACCCCGGGCGCATGGCCGAGCGCTCGTGGATCGACCTGAGGCCTGAGGCTCGTCACCTCACGCGGGTGAGCGAACAACGATGTTCGCTTCTGAGGCATCTCGTGGGGGAAGTTTGAGGCGAACTTGGATGTCGGTACCTGTGGTCGGACAGTGGGGAGGCGAGGCAGCGCGAACTACCCAGCCCCTCCGCTTGGGTATCACCGCTCGTTCAGGGTTACTTCTTGCACTCCACAGGTTCGTGAAGGCGCACTAGTAAGCTCTACTATACCTTCCTTCCTTCCTTTTGCTGCCTTTGTTACTCGTGGATCACAGCGTGAGCCGCGTGGCCACCGACGAGGCAGGGCGGTGCCTGTGCAGGCGGGCCGCGGTTGGTGGCGGTGCAACCAAGTACGACGTGACAACCGCATGAGCCGTGCAGCCAGATTTCTGTTCTACTCTGTTGCTAATACTCTGACCAGGACGCATTAAGTAGTACCTATAGGAGGAACGGTGCTGTATTGTTCTCCGTAGCGCTCAGACATAGCAAGAGGCGGTGTAGCGATACTGTCCTTTGGTAGTTGCGGTAGTGGCCCTCAGAAGGCGATGTCATATGGAAGTCTGCACAACAACAGGAAATCCTGACAAGTGCTTGTGTCTGGATCACATCGATATTATCTTGTCGCGATGCTCTTAAGCAGCTTGGGCTCCACCCGAGGGATCCGCCTATCACCCGCCGTCACGTTCAAACGTGAACCACCGCTATCGAAACGAACATGGGCCAGCTGCTCGCCATCTGCTGCATCCTCGCCGGCGTCGAAGTGACCGACGACTTTGGCGACTTGTGTGGCGGTGACTCCGACGCTTCCGGGGGCGGCTGCTGCTGCTCGGACGCCGGGTTCGACAACGGGACCGAGGTCGTGGTCCTCAACAACTACAACGCGTCACCGGATTTGCCTCAGCTAGGACGCTCCCGCTTCCATGATGGTGGACCCGCACCACCTAGGAGGCCATATGCGCCGGAGGTCGAACAACGCGAGAGGCGCAGGCAGCGTGAGCGGCTCGAGCTGCAGCTGCAGCGCCAGAGACGGGAGGAGCTATTCAGCACCGCGCCGCTGCCGCCGCCCTATGTGAAGTAATTCTTGTGAGTTCGTTATTCAGTGTATCATTAGGACAGAGCTGACTTTCAAATACGCGCCTTACAGCTGGCGCCGCAGTCAGTCGCTTATACTTATATCACAGTCGTCCGCCACAGCTATCCCTCCTCCTCAGACTTTTCAATCGTGGTCAACCGGACCTATGTTATTTATGCGTTATTCTTTGTCTCTCTCTGCCATGTAGAACGTGCACCGTATTGTAGGATCCATGCCATTCCTTCTTCCTGCGACCCCTGGAAATGCAGGCATTGAGGCGTCGGGAGAATGGGCGTACGCAAGGCAGAGATTGCTGCTTGATACGCTTGGTTTGGCTTAGACTAGCAACGAAGGTGACGCCTTCGACGGCGCACGGCTGAATCTAAGAGTGATTCTCGTGTCGGCGGGCAATGTTAGGTCGCTCTCGACTCAACATCTGCGGTATGTACAGGATGACAGCGAATAATGGAACGGAGCCCACTCTGTCTTGACCCGCTTCCGTTGCAGCTGCGTGGCTCAGCAGCGATCATGAGGTCCGAGGACCTCAGCAGCGGGTTGGGTACGAAAAACGCCGCTGACCAAGAGTCCCAATCAGAGGGAGAGAGAGCTTGTTAGCATCCAGGGCGAGTCACTGGACGTATTGTACAAGGATACGCGCCCGTACAGAATATCGGCCTTTGTATCTTGGGCTGCAGCGCAGATGCAAGTACCGCGTACATCACTTCCACAACACCGGTGAGCTACGGAAACCGTTGCCAGTATCAAAAACGCGGAGCTGGTACTGCATCGCTGATGCTTACAGGTCCCAGCGGCACGCCATACGGACCGTGCATCATGCCATCGGCGAACCATCTCGGCTGACGACCCAGCAGAACTTGGCTCACCCTCTCAACCTGCGTCTGCAACGGTCGCCTGTAAAAGCTTGCGCAGTTGTACGGACGCCAGATGGCGATCACTGGAAACGAAGAACCATGGCGATCTTTGTCAAGACCCTCGCTGACAGCATACTCAATCTCGAGCTGGCTAATGCGCGACACGAGGCGCAGGCCCCTGGTGGCGAAGCGGATTTAGGACGACTTGGGTATTTTCTGTTCGTCCCGGAATCGGTACACTTTACGCGTCCAGCTCAGGAACGCTTCCTCAACCTCTGTATCAAGCTCAAATGCGTGAATGCAAGGTGCGCACGCGTAGTCGCCGGGGATGGTGACGTCCATGAACTGCTTCTGGCCTGCCTCCCGCCGTCGAACTGTTTCTGCCGCGATTTCTCGGTTCTAGAAGAGCATCGAGCACGGTGCCAGCATGCACATAGCGGCAGCACGTACCAGCAAATTCGCATTGGATATAAAGGCTCTCACCCATGGATCAAGGTAGCCGCGCTTGGATTTGTTCTTCGACCGCAAGTCGGTGGGTACAGAAGTGGGAGTGGTCACGACTCAAGTACTCATCTCTCGTGGTGGGTATCTCGCAAGTCTGGTTCGGGCGCTTGCCTCAGCAACTTAATTAATAGGCAGTTCGGAGAGCGCCCGCCGCCCGTGAACGCGATATGCACCGCGCCGTGGCTCGAGGGCTCGGAAGTCGGCACGCGCGCAGTCCTCATGAGTCATGACGCCTGATGCAGAAAAACGTCTCGAGCTGCACCAGCAAGCTAGCCAGAGCAACACATCGCCGGTATCATTGGCCTAATCCGGGAGCTAGCAATAGCCGTAGTGCAGGGACAGGGAGAGTATCCTCAATGGTTATCGTAGTAATGGTGCACACTGTGTATAAATTGGCAAGTCTTGAAGCTTTGAAGCTTGGTATTGCGAGTCTGAAGACCAAAATGTCAAGGGCCGAAGACATAGGTTATTAAGTAATAAGTACTGATAAGTAAGGCTCCAACTGTTTTGTTTGTTTACTGTGTATAAACGTTTATTACTGTTTACCGTTTCCGTGTGTGTAAATGAAGTCATGTAAACTTGGTGTAAATGTTTATACACAGTAAACATACAGTTTCCTCTTATTGTTTGTAAAAGGTCTTAGTGTTGTACATTCATAGTCTTGCTAACAGACTTGACCTTTATTGGGCTGAAGAGTGCATCGCACCGCCTGTGCATCGTCCTCGGGCAGCCTCTTTGAACCCCCAAGCCCGGTGCACTGTATCAAGCGCCTATGCCCTGAGACTTACTGGGAGTAATGGTAGTCATGATTCTAACTTGTATTGAGCACAGTCTGAAGGCAAGCATTAAAAATATAATATAATGTGTATTTATTGACTGCTCCTCTACATATAGTCTACTGTGGGCACTGGCAGCCTGCCTGCAAGAGTGCGGTATGCAGGAATGTCGTGAGCCCATACTTCATTCAAGAGGAACAATATTAATATTAGTTCAACCTCATTGAGCGATAACAGTACCACATGCAATACTAAGGCAGATTGACTCTAAAAAAAGGCTATCAGAGGTCCGCACCCATGCAGCAGTCTTCTCTAGGCCAGCTCTTGAAGTCCTAGCACGAGAGTATGTTGTGTCACCCCCAAAGTGCCAGGCTAACACTCGCATAGGTTATCGGCCCACTTCTCAACAACGAGGTCAATGATAGGACATGCCAACCTTCTAAAGGCGGAACCGCAAGCTTCTTACAAGCCCCACGGATACCTTTGTAGGTCTTACCCTCGCAGTACAGTGCTGCCTGGCA